CTTTTCTCACCTAAGTTTGGCTCTACCTTTGACCTCTAATAGCAGGTGATGGAACCCCAATTATTTCTTTACTTTCTTCACTCTGAAGCAAACTTCCACAACTGCTGGCAAGTGAGGAGGTGTAAAGCCCTATCATCCTCACAGCTATGCAATGTTTATCTAGGTTTGTTTCTGGGTATAGCACCGAACAAGAGCTTATGGCTCTCAGGGTGGAGAGAAAAGTCCAGGTACACAGCAGACAGAAGCCCAGAGGAAGACTGAGCTTGAACCTTGCCAAGAATATTAATTCCTTTGTGTCCTCCTCAGTTATGAAGGGATGCCTTGATAAAAATGATGCCCCAAAAGAGGCAATTTAAGTGCCAGCAGTCCTAGAAATGGTTATAGGAGAGCTCCAGGTAGAGCCTCATCACCATTCCAGCCCCTTGTTAATATTAAAATCGATATTGTACTCTGCCAGAACCCTGCTGTTAGAGGCTCTTGCTGTTCCTCTGTGCTTGACTAGCCTTTGAGCTCTAACTCTGCTTCCACCTTGTGAGAGGTCAGGGAATGGATCTGACAGCACATAACAGCGCATAAGCCTCTACAATGTCTGTGCATGTTGGCACTCACTGGCACACCTCAGAGAGTGTCCTGTACCTCACCCAGATGTGACAGCTGTCTTCCCAGCACAACATTCCTTGGTCCTGCCTCAGCCCTGTGCGTGCATCAGAACTCCTCACTACATTCTCTGCCAACTTCCCATGTATCAGTGGCTGTAGGATTTGGTTCTTTGTATTTCTAGTGTTGTCGCTGTTACACTGTGCTCTGCTCTATCAGTCAAGGCTGTGCGCATGGTACTTTAGCATATGCCCATGCTCTGCCTTTCTGTAACTTTCCTGCTAGAATGCTTTATGTTGTTCATTATATTCACAAACCTTAGTGAAATCCTTCATGTATTCCCTACTCGTTTGCAGCCTCTGTTAGTTAAAATCCTCCTAGTATGTTAACCATTATAATTTTTAACGGTCTTCAAGAGTGGGATATTAAAGCTGTTCTCCATTAAGCAGCACATGAATAGATTGCCATCTACATTTTGGTGTTGATCTTTTGTTTATCTTGTTCAACAATTTGCTGGTGCTTTCAGTGGAATTTGGAATACCATAACCCCTACAGTTTTATTTCCTGTCTTCTTCAATGGAAAACTGATAGGAAAAACAGTAAGAGATGAGAACCGCAGGGCATAACATTGTGGTGGGGTCTGGGAACAAAAGAAAAAAAAATTTGCTGTGGTCACTTCTGGATGTAAAATCAGGCCAAAGAGAAACAAACCCAAAATCCTGTGTGTAAATGGTTACAAAACCTGCGTTATTGTATGCATGAAAGAAGGAGGGACACTATATTTTGAGAAGTTCAACTAGTTTGGTTCCAATTTGTAAGCACTTTTAAATTCCAGGTTTTTTAATCTTTCCTACTCTCTAAATCTACATAAATGTGGTTTAGTTTCATCCTCTCCCGTTGCTTTTCCTCCTGTGCTTTAAATCAGGAGTTGCTCCTAATAGGAGTTTCACTGCAGCAAAGTGAAAGGTTTGTGTCTGGTTCTCCTCTTCCCCGTCTGAAATGTGGGGCAGTTCCAGGACTGTAGCTGTAGCTGTGCCTTGTGTATCCTTATCACAAGGCACTCTGCGCAGTCCTGGAACTGCAAACTGATAAGTGGTGTGTGGTTAAAATCAGGTCTTAGGGGTGAGGGGGAACACAGTGGAAATGTCTAGCTGCAGTTTGATTTTTAACCTCTTTTCCCCACCATCCTGCCTTTCAGCAATGGTTTAACATGTATAAACCCATAACCATCAACACAGCTCTCCTCTCTGAAGAAGCTGATTCCTTTGTGAACAAGCTGGACCCCAATAAGGTATTTAAAAGCAAGAATAAAACTCCAGTGATCAAAAAGAAACTACCCTCCCAGCCAGCAGGCTCTCAAAAGAGTCACACAAGCACGACCTCCTCCAAGACATCCTCACTAGCTGGGAATTCTTCAAGGAAGTGAGACCCCCAGATGTGAACCCGGACAGCATTTGCAATAAGCTTTGATGTTCTCTGATGCAGAGTCTCAGTGGTTCAGAAGAAGTTCCTTGTGCATGAATAGATGTGCCAATGGGAAACACGTTGCAGCATTTGCATGAAATATAGCCACCATGTACTTCGACATGGGAGGGATGCAGTTCCTGGAGACTCTGATAAAAACTGGAGACATTGATTTTATTACTTCTGCTACTTGCGGCATGTACTTTTCAGAGGGCATGAAGAAGCCCTTGATGTCAGTCCTCTGTAGGGAAGCTTTTTCTCTTGTGCAACTACAGCAGTGAAATGAAAGCAAATGTAAGTCCCTGGTACCTTAATAGACCCATAGTGAAATAGTGTGTGTGAAGATATTTCTGCCATCTCCTTTGAAAGAAATCTGTCCTGACCTTGCATGCGATGGGAGCAGGCTGGAACCCATAGAACAAAGACACATCTGCTTCAGACAGAATCAAACTCCACGCTTCCCTGTGCTCCTTCCAGCTTCTGCCCTGAGATTTGTGGTATAAAGGGACCTGGGGCTTCCGTGTCTCTGCGTTGCCCTAGTCACGTGCTCTACAGCCCAGACTGCTTTTTGGCCTTGTGCCGTATGTTTTCGGAGAGTGACATCTGTGTGATGTCCTTCCCAACAAAACCCAAGGCAGCCAGAAGCTGCAAGATCCCTTGTTGCCTCCGCTTTCTCCTCTGGTGAGAACTGCTGAGCCAGGGCACATTAGTGGTATTAAGAGTCCCATAAGCCAGGAAGACCCCTTGGTTTGCCATACATTTATTTGCAAAGTTGACACCCTTTGTTGCTTTTCAGTTGGGCAGGATCTGACCAGGGACCACTGAGATCCTACAGCCTTAGAAGCCCCTGATGCTGTTTTCTGTACTGTAAGTTTTCAGGTTAGAACTGCACTCTAACCCATTTACTACTGGTTTTCAGTTACATCTGATTGTTTCTGTTACTTTCCTGTGCCATTCTGTCTTCTTAGATGTGCTGGAAACACATGGCAGCAACCAACACATGTTGTGCCTAAGCAGGGAAATTAAAGTCACCATCTTCAAATAAGCATTATTGATTATTTAATAAGCATCATCTTTTATTTATGAAACAGTCACATAATTACATAAGACAGACTTACCTCACAGCGATGTTGTGAGGCTTTCACGAGTATTTGTGTGGCCTTCAGAAAGACAAAGCCACCTTCTAAGTGCTTAATGGTATTTTAATAAAGATTTTGGTATTTTCCTCCAGAGTTTTCGGGTATTTGAAGATGCTTTTGGGACCACATGCACAAGGATGCATAGAGCAGGATGCAGTCTGGATTGTTTGGGGTTTTTTTAATGCAGTGGAGCATCTCGCACTGAGAAAGGATGGGTTACAGTATCTTTTGGCTAATCCCGTTTTGAGCTACTCTGAAGTTCTCTGTTTAGTTTACATGGAGCAAAAGCCTCAGCTCTGTGACAACTGGTCCCGTTCTGTCCTGCACTCACTGTTCAAAACCTCTGCAGCCATCACCCCCAGCTCTGGCATGCTTTGCTGGCCTCCAGCACTGCCCAGGGCCTGCTCTCAAGCGCAGCTGCTGCCTCGCCTGGCAGCTGCCCTCTGCCACCCCCAAATGAGAGAAGATCCTCTAATGCTCTTCAGCTCCCTTACTCCAATGTGCGTCTTGTGCTGGAGGAAGATCTGCTGTAGCTGCTCTGCTAATAAAAGGTCAGTTCTAATGAGGAAGCAGAGATACCAGTACCTACCATGCCACCCCATGCCACAGTAATATATTAGTAATCCTTTTAATAGTGAGATGTGAATGATCATTAAAGCCAGTAAATGCCATTTTCTGGAATTCTGTGCAGTAGTTATGTTCTGTCACTTCCTACTCTTGGAGATCCCTGTGCTGTGTGTTCGTCGTACCCAGCCCTGGGACTGCAGTCACGCACTTGACAAACGTATCATACTTCCTCAAGCGCTTTCTAGAAAAGTTAAGACTGTTGTCACCTCCCTGGGAACAGGCAGCTTCTGACACTGTTTTACTTTTAATCTGATGATACCTCAAACTTGTCAGGCTGTTCCAGGCAGACTTCCTCATTCAGATGGAGGTGGCAGAGTTCCTGCAGGAGCAGGGCAGCCTTTTGCTGTATTTCTTATGCTTTCAGAGTGGAGAAAAGGTTGAGGCTTTTTTATTTCAGTGTCTGAATCCTTTCATATGGTGGTAGTTAAAGTCTAGCCTGTCAGTGATGCCTGGAACCATGACACCAACGTGTTGCAGCAGATCTGTGCCAGGACTCAGGAGACCCTGTGGTTTAGTTTACTAATTCTTTGATGTGTCCTAAATGTTCAGATCAAAAAGAAAAAAAAACAAAACGAATCATGAAAAAAAGTCAGATTCATGTTTTCTATTTCAGACTGTCCTTGCTCTTCTCTGTGCTCTGCCAAACTAGGTGTTTGTTAGGGTGACAGATTAGCAAATGGAAGCACGCCTATGCCCTTGATCCACCAGTGTATCAGTGATCCATCAGTATCTACCTCTTACCAAGAATATTCCAGATCAAAATTGCTTTGATTAAGTTAATTAAGTTGTTTCTGCCAATGTTGGATCCTGTATTTTGATTTCTGTGAACATACAGGTATCTGGAGTCCTGCAGCTCTGCTTTGCTTCTCTCCAGAATATAAGGATTTTTTTTTGGTGGATTTTTACACAGGGAGATTGAGTAATTTCTTCAGGTCACAGACAGGTCTAGCCCTACCCAGTTCTGCCCAGTTTCTCAGAGACCTAGTTTGTCTGGTTAAGCACAGTAGGTTTATTGAAGACTAGTCACTCGCTTCTCCACCTGCAGTGCAGAGGAATGGTGTCCTCTGGCAGCACCATTGCACATGCCCTTACCTACTTGGTTATCCTGTGGCTGTCAGTCCATACATCTACACGGACTTTGCTGTCAGGCCCTTTCTTCGGAGCGTGTGGCCATCACAATGTAGAAATCTGCACCGCTGGCTGTCCTTTCTCATTTAGACTTTCCAGGACAGGTCGATTGTGAAGATCAATGAAGAGTTTGTAAATTAGAACACCAGCAAGACTTCCCAGAACCGGAGCTGTGAGTGGGACCCACCACCAGTGATGTCCAGCCCTAAAATGAAACAGAAGAGGCAGCTTGTGAGCCAGACAAACCACTGCCCTGCTGCTGCGTGGCACAGGGTGAGGTGAGTTGAGTTTGCTGGGGCAGGAGTGAGCTGTGTGAGCAGCGGTGTCAAGTCCCACTGCACATACTGGGCCCTACAACTAGCTTAGACAAATTCTCTGTCCACAGCATAATTGCTGGAGGGAGGGTCATTTTCCCCATTGGCCTGGAAAAGTGGCCCTGCACTGTCTGCAGGTTTCTTGTTCTCCTACAGAAAGTCTGTGTGATCCTGATGAGTGTGACTGTCAGACAAACAGACAGACACACACATAGTAACATCTGGACCTCCTCTACCAAGCTCTCAAAGATGTTTTCTGGAAATTTAATGAAAATGGGCAGCCAGGACAGGAAACTGCTAATGCCCTCACCATGGGAAAAGCCATAGCATGGCACCATCTTACTAGATAAGGGAAGGCAAGGTTTCATTTCCAGATTCAGACACCTAAATTTAGGAGAGCTATTCAGCAATCCAGCTGTAAATACGTGCTTTCAGGTGTGCTGATTGCTTTCTGGCTCTCTAGTCACTGCAATAAATGACGAAATCTCCAGCTAAGAGGTAGCCAGTTTGGTGCCCAAATTGAGGTATCTGAATGTCGAGGTGAATCCCATGCAGAGAATTGGTGTACCCCAAAATTTGTGTACATACTACATGAGACTTCTCAATGCACAGCCCTTGCTGTCTGAGAATGGAGAACACTCTGCAGCGATACCATCACTTTGTCCAAAGAAAAAGGCTTCAAGACCATTTTATCTTGGACTTACTGCCTCTCTTTGTGAGCTGAGCAGTGTGAAAGCAAAATGGGTCACTCACGTGAAGACGTCCATTCCCCAGCCAGCAATTGCTGTAAAGACCCTGGGGGGCAGGTCCCGAGAGGGGTTTATGGCGTAGCCTGTGTTCATCCCCATCCCCAGGCCGATGCCCAGGACCAGGATACCCGTGAGCAAGGCCTGCGTGCCTTTCAGGGCTCCGTTGTTTTTCTCGTCGTGAATGACCAGAATGCCCAGGAGCAGCATCGCTGTCGCCATAAACTGCAGGAGCAGGAAAGGGAAAACAGGTCAGAAGAGAAAATGGGAAAGGCAGAAGGATCCTGCTTATCAGAGAGGAAAAGACTTCCCAGAATGGAAGAGCAGGTGGGATTCGTGGCCTGCTCAAGTCAAGGAGGACCTCAATGTTATTCCCTCCTCACAGGTGGACTGAAGAAATTTCTTTACTCATTTCCCAGCAAAAACATCTCCACCTCATCACCAAAAACGCTCTAGGACTGATATGAACTTATCAGCACTATCCTCTCCCTCCACCTGTTAAGTTAGAGACATGGGTGATTCTAAGTACTTTATTAAGAGATGTTCATTTAAGTATTTTAAGAGATGCAGAGCCATAACAAACTGCTAACGAGATAAATTTGATCCTCCCTCCCAGGCTGTGTGATGCTTCACATAGCCTGTTGCATTAGCCCTTTCAGGACTAAAAACAGATACTGAATTCTTATCTGGGAAACAATCTCCTGTCTGCGATGGTACATAGCTGGCATTTGTAGATCTGCAGTGCCTAAGACATCTGGAACTGTGGTTTGAATAGATGTGATGACTCCTGTCTTTTTCTGCTTCAGAAGATGCAGGTGGGGAGCCTTGGGCTGCTTGCAGAGATTCCAGCAAAAGCATAAACTCTGCAGCAATAATGCAGAGTCACTGTCACCTGCTCTCTGGTGCAGCAGGGTCACTGCATGCTCCACAGGAGGCTGAGTGATCAGGTCCCCACCTGTAAGCTCTCCAGCTCTCACCGTCCTTCTCATCATGCCCAGGCAAGAATTTTGTCAGCTCAGAGACAAAAGCACAGGCTTCCTCATATTTGAATTGGAGGTGAATCTTCCTTCTCTAGTGTCCCAGTGCTCCATGTCCCCTGAAGCATCCCCTTTCTATCTCTAGGCATCTGGACATTGTGTTGTATGCTGGGAATCAACTGCACACAGTCAACATTGAACTGGTCAGACCCCAGAGGTTCAGTTCAGACAGGCTGTGATCGTGTGAAGAGAGCCCAGGCCCTCTGTGCTGGTGAGGGGCAGCCAGCAGAGCTGCCTGGGAGCGTGGAGCAGGTGTAGGATCCAAGAAGGGGAAGAACAGTTCAGGGAACTGCCCAGAGCCCAGAATAGATAGTTCCTGATATAACTCGGCTTCTCGCTTCTCATTGCTTGGGCAGTGTGCGGGGAACATGTTCAGGGATACTCGGACGAAGCTGCAGAGCAGCCTGCAGCCATTATCTTTTAGCCTGCTCAGCCACCAAGGTGCCTTGGGTCCTGCCTTCAGGCACCTGCCCGGGTGGTGGGCTCCTTGGAGTAGGGCTTGTGATTTTGTCTGCACACGTAGCAGACCTACAGTAGCATCTGTTACCACCCACCTTCTCCTGGCACACCATAGCAGTCCCCACTGACCTCTGTGAAGAAGCCCCCCAGCAAAGATACATGAGGAGCAGGATAAGTGGCGAAGATCGACGCTGTGGCGGTTGGTCCTGTCACTGTGAAGTTCCCCTTGGTGTAATCGTACAGAGCATCTAGGAGACATGGGAACGATGGGAGTTAGCAGAGTTCATACCCCCTGGCACATATGCAAGTCCACCCGTTGCAGCCAGCACAGACACCAAGGGGAAGAGAGGCAATGGGAGACACGATGGAGGTGACACACCCCTGGCAGAGCATTATCTCACCAATATCTGTTACCTGCAGACTTTGGTCTGCAGTTACTTCCTTACACCTGCCAGCTCCCTGTCCCTACACCAGGAGCCTGGGGCAGGCTGGATGCTCTGGATGAGCTGTAGGCTTTCATCCCTCTGGCCCTCAGAGACCAAAACATGCTGGAGCCAATGGGTGGTGAGTCCTCTGCTCAGAACTCAAACCTACTGATGACTGCCGTCGTTCTCTTTTCCATGGAGCAGCAGAGTCCCCCAGAGCTCCAGCTATACCTAATGCATGGACATCCATCTAACTCAAGCCCTTGCAGACTCTGGAAACAAAATGCCGACAAAATGCAGCTATTGGCCTTGAGTTGAGGACAGGTTTTAGCAGTGGGAATGCCGTGAGCAAAAGGACCTGTGTTCTCCAGGAGCTGAACATCCTTCCCGGAGATATCCAGGCCCTGCTCTGGCCTTGAGCTATGAAGGTCTATACCACAAGCCGGAAGCTTGCCCTCTCACCCAAACATCATGCTGGGTACTGTAAAAGGAAATATTTTTTGACAAACTATGAGTTAAGACTGAGATGGTGCCCACAGCAACCCCCGTGATAAAAGACACAAGCGTACCGTAGTAGAGGGCAAAGACGGTGGCTGCTGCTGTAAAGGAGCCCAGGAACTGGCCCATCAGATAAGCTGGGAGCTTTCTCCAGGGGAGGTTTCCTAAAATGCAGTGTGTAAGGGTGATGGCAGCGTTCAGATGAGCTCCTGCAAAATCACAGCAAAAGAGAGTGGCCTCAGCCCTGGTGCAGGTGTTTCAGAGCATGCCCATGCCCCGCAGTACCACCGGACCTTGCTCCAGAGCACCCAGACTCTCTCAGGGCAGAGAGAACAACCGAAATGGAGTGAGATCTGTTCTTTTTTGATCCTCTGATCCTTTGTGGATATGACCAGCCATTTCAGAGATTACAAGAAGCCTCCTGTGGCACAAATGAGGCCAAATTACAATGTCAGGAAGCCCTGAAGCTGCCTCTAGAATCTGGCTGAGCTGAAACCCCTTCTCCCACCTTCCAGCCCTCAGCAGATCAGCTCCATCTCAAATGTCACCCGGGACTTGACACCCATGACCCACTTAGCCCACTTCCCCCAGGATGTCTCCACCGGTTCCAAAAGGACAGGAAGACCAAGAGCTGAGTGCTCGTGTGGAAAAATTTTCCTTTCCAAACCAGCCCCAGCCTCAGACATCTCTCTGCTCCAACAATTAAAATGCACAGACTTGCTTTTATTTTCTGCCTACTAGAGCCCTTAATCTCTTCCCCTGGTGTAAGTGAATGCAGAAATTGCACAAGGCAAAGGAAATGCTGTCATGTGAGAGATACCACTCCATGGCCCTGAGACACCACCTCCTGAGTTCGTGTGAGGCATGTGTGCATGGGTGTGGATGATGAGGAGAAAATTTGCATACCATGCCTTGTTGCAACATCAGCAGAAAGCTCTCCTTCGCGATAAATCATTTACTCCCCATGGGTCATATTGGCAGCATGTTTTCAGAGCTCCTTGTCTCCTTGGGCCATGATGGCATGTCCCAGGCATCTAATGGGGGCACTGCTGAAACCCGGCTCTGCTGACGGCAACAGGAGAGGATGGTCAAACCTCTGCCACTGCCCCTGTCCTGCTTGCCCCTGTCTCAGCTCGGGGCATGCATTTGGGCTCAGCATACTGTAGGTATGCGGTGCCTGTCTTGTCTCCTGCTTCTCCTGACCTTGCCACTCCATCACGACACCTTGGCTTGACCTCAGAACTGCCTCCCCCCATGCAGACTTGGCTGTGATCACTGGGTCACAAGGCTAACCCTGGTTATGGTCACCAGACTTGCTCTACTCTTCTTGCCTGGGTACCCTAGGACTGCATTTTTTGCTGCTGAGGGCACTGCCTCATCTTGCCATGCCATCACCCACTGCTCCACAGCCCAATCCTGCTGCCCCCAGTGCGTGTGGCATTTATGATGGGACATAGAGAGGTCCTGCGCTCCAGTGTCCTGCTCACCAGAGATTCCTCCAGCTGCATGGATGCCCAAGGTAACACCAATGCCAAATCCCAAATTGATGCTCAGATGCTGCCCAAAGTCTCCTCTTCCAAGTACCACTTGCGCCACAGAAGACAAGCCAAAGACCTAACTCATGGAAAAAGAAA